TTTCACAAGTTAAACAAAATAAAAAGACCCTCTCATCTTACGATGTTTTCCGTCAGTTCATCCTCACACGCAGCTGTCAAAACACGGAATGAGCTCAGGAGCGCACCTCTCAGGCCACACCTACAAACCCTCCCCTAACAACGGAGCCCCGCAAAGATAGATTTAAATGTATGTTAAAAGAATTAAACAAATTATTGTTTTAAATTAAAAAGAGTTGTTTTTAATACATCTATATCATTTCTTAATTGATGAAACCATTCAGCATTCATCCTAAAGCTTTTCACTTTAAAAATTAGGGTTGTCTATACAAGTTTTCTTCTAAACAATCACCTCTAAGCCACAGGTAAAATGTTGCTTGGTTTGATTTATTTTAGTTTAGTTTAGTTATTCAGACTTAATTTACCAAATCTTTTATTTACTCTTTGGTTTTTGTCAAATTTAACTTGCGGTGTGGTATAACAGTTAAAACGCACAAACGCTCGCATAAATATCTAACTGGAATGAAACCTAACACTGAAGCGTCCATATCAGCGTAATGTGTTTCAAAAGGTTGTAAACATCTAAGACAGTTTCCGGGATTGCAACTCATTTGCAATCTAATGAGTTTGAGGGATCTGGCATTGTAAACTTTGTTGTTGTGTCAGGCAAAGTTCACTGATCAAAGGGGGTATCCTTTGCAGCTATTTTATGACATGCACCTGCGAGTGTCAAAAGTTTAGTCAAAGGTTCAGTGGCTGGTCAAAGAATATGAACCCTATTGAACTTTTTAACCTCAAACATCTGGTTAGGTTAAGAAGAAAAACAGGTTAATAACGTATATCTGGTGGTTGTGATTTCACAGAGGTTCAGGAGGCTCTTAGATAGATAGAGAAAAGACAATAACAATAAAGTGAAATAAATAGGGTGGGGTAGGGTGATTGTTTTTAACAAGTCAGTCTATGCTGTAGGAAAGTTTGTATAATTTTACTTCATTTTAGTTAAATTTGATATCTTTATTCACTCAGAATGTTGTCATGTTTAAAACGTACGTACACACACACACACACACACA